ACAGAAGTAGCAGCAATCTTGGTGGTTTCATTCTATGATGTGCCTTTGGGAATTGCTGTGGAAAACTCAACCTCAAGTCTATTCTTCAGCCCTCACATGATTCTGCAAGCCACTTAATACCCTATAATAAATCCTTTCTTGGTTAAGCTACTTGGAGTAGTGTCTGTTCTGTGCTCTACACTGTTAAAACTAACAGGAAATGGAAAAACAGAATAAAATCTTCTTTTGGTACTCAACACTATACTGGAACCTAGTTATGAATCTTAACAGAGAATTCTGAAAAGAAGAAAAAAAACCAAATAATTTAAAGTCATAGATATTTGGGGAGTTTTTGTTGCCCTTCTGTTTTTTGTGGGTCCTATACCATCAAGTGATCAATAAATAATTGTTCATGGATTTAAAAAAAACACACACAATGGAAAAACACCAAATGGCTTCATACTTTCATAACTAGTTGCAAGGAGAATGAATGAATCTGTCTGAACTAAGACCGTAAAAAGGGGTCTTGGAAAGATCCTGAGATGGGAATATGGAGGCAGGGGGTTTGTGGAATTGCATGCTCAGGATGAAACCTGTAAGAAAGTCAGAAAGCAGGACTAAGCAGAGGAAGCAGTTGAAGTGTGATGCAGGTGCCACAAAGGCCTTGGCTGATCTCATGGGCAGGGAGGTGTAGTTCTGAATCTGACATGACCCTCCAGGGTGGTCCTGAATTGAGGCAAGAAGGCCAGGTCTTTGTAGCCCCACATTGACCAGTCACTAGATACAAATTGCCTTTGGGAAAAGTCTGTAACCCAGGATGAGGTAGCTCCTTTCAGTAAGAGCAAGTCCTTACAAGGAACTCAGCCATGGGTTGTCAAGAGCCAAGAGCTCTGGGAAGCTGAAGAAGGAGCACTTTGGTCCTACAGGGGGGACCTGGGTGGTGAATCACAGCATCTTCTCAGAGCCCAGAGAGGTGTGAGTGAGGGAGAGAAAATGAGGTATAAACTATTGTGGTATTAATGTGGAAGGAAAGAGTAGACAGATAAGAGAAAAGACAGGAGGTAGAGTAGAAAGGGCATTGTGATTTATCAGCTATGGGAGGAGGGAGAGGGACAAGTCAGAGTTCCCTCCCTTAACCCTGCCTTGGACATTTGAGCAGATGCCAGGCTGTTGGCTGAGGCAGGGAGTCCAGGAGAGTAATAAGTTATCAGTGAGAAGAGGATGGAGGCAGAAATTATAAATTCACTATTGCCTGTGTCGAGTTTGAGATATCTGTAGGATATAACAACATTCACTGGGCACTTGCAACATCCATGTTCTAAGCTACTCATCTTATATCCATTGACTCATTCAATCCTTATATAAGGATTCCTTGGGCAGCCCCAGTTGGCTCAGTGGTTTAGTGCCACCTTCAGCCGAGGGCCTGGTCCTGGAGACCTGGGATCGAGTCCCACGTTGGGCTCCCTGCATGGAGCTTGCTTCTCCCTCTGCCTGTGTCTCTGCCTCTCTCTCTCTCTGTGTGTGTCTATCATGAATAAATAAATAAAATGTTAAAATATATATATATATATATATATATATATATATATGGATTCCTCATTGACTCATAGACAAAACTAGTCTTGTTATTCCTATTTTAGTCTTGAAGCACATGGGTTTTCAAGTGGTTAATTACCTGGCCCAAATTACTCAGCAGACTTTATATTTGAACCCAAGTCTATCTTGCTCAATTCTTACAGGTGTCCTCTCCACACCATCCTACAGATGAGAAGGACAGGAATCTGATCTAGACAGATAACAGTTGGCATCATCACTGCATAGATGGTCATCAAAGCCACAAGAATAGGTGGAACTAGTTAGTGGTATTGACAATAATGTATTTGCTAACATGCAGTGAGTACTCTCCATGTGCCAGGATATCTTTTAAATGCTACCTTATTTAATCCTTAGAGCAATCTTGTAAGGACATAGGTTCTTAGGACTACAATAACAAAATCCCAAAAACTGTGTGGTTTAAACAACATAAACGTGTTGTCACAGAGGTTTGGAGGCCAGATGTCTGAGATACCAGCTGAAACAGTAGAAGCAGAAACAGAGGGAAGTTGAGTCTTCATGGCATCAAAGGAAACCAGGATGTATAGGACAAGCAAGAGCATCCAGCCATGAGAGCCTCACTGTATCCTGCATTTGGCAGTTGTTGGACCGTCAACTACATTCTGGTTTCTGAGATGTTAACTGATCCTCACTGAGTTCTGACTATGAGGTCAAGATTCCCACCCACACTTATATCCATACTTCTCCTTACTTTAAACTTTCATTTCACTTCTGCTTCTTATAACCTTAAAATAATTTGACTTAAGCACCCAGAGAGGCAGGGGGATATAAACGAGTGAAATGCCGCATCATAGAAGCTAATGAGAAAGAATGGTTGAAGAAGGAAATGGTCAATTGTATCAAATGTTACAGAAAGACCAAGATAAGCACATTAAAACTAACAGAGGTTTGCTAACAAAAAATGTGAGAGCTGGGTGAGTGAAGACCAAAGCCATGGATGGTGGCAGGAACCAGTTGACCAGAAAGACAGCCACAGAAACCACTTTCAAGTACCTTGACTCTGAAGAAAAAGAGGGAAGTATGGTCCTACATAGATGTTGTTGCCGAGTAGAGGGACTGATTTAAATGAATACATTTAAATGCAGAGGGCAAGGAGGCATAAACAAACATGAGGTTGAAAACACTTTGGAGGGAGGACAACTAGGGGGTGAAGTTGCTGAGGATTTGAGCAGCTGGGTGGAAGGAAGAGTCAGAGACAGGAATGGGGAAGGAGACAGTGATGGGTGTGCACACACAGCAGGCTATTTTAGGATCTGATATTGAAGATATTTCCTGTAATGACTTCTATTTTGTGGGTGAAATAGGAGACGAGATTATCTGCTGACAGTGAAGAAAGAGACAGATTAAGAGCCTTGAGGAAGTGAAGAAGATTTGCAACAGTCATTTTGGAAAATGGCAGTGAGCTCTAACTGGAAAAGTGTGAAAGATTACCAGTTAGTACAGAGGGCTCAGGTGAGACCACAGGCTTGAGTCTGGCATGCCCACTTGTGATTTCGTTCAACTTCATCTGACAGGGAGGGAAAAGCAGCAGAAACATTGTTAGTTGGGATTAATTGAAATCTGAGGGGAAAGGGGCTAGGGCACAAGGAGTTCAAGGTGTTGGGAAAAGAAATAATTGAAGAAAGGAACCAGAGTATCTAGACAGACCCCAGATGGCAAGGCTACTAAAGAGAAAATATGAGAATCAAGGAGACTCAAAGAATAGCTGTGTGGGAGTAAGAGATAGAAGTCTGCAATAAGACTTTACGGAAATTTGAAGATTCCAGAGGTGGAGAAGTTGTGATTAGAAAATCCTAAATTTGACCATGTTTCATAGATGGGTGCTGTGTGCCTGTCCAGCTTCTCTTCCTTTGGGGAGCTTTCCTTCTGTCATTGCTGAACAGATCACCCCAGAACCTCACCCCACTTCACCTCTGCTACAGAGGGGTTGGCATGGGATGCAGGCCAGTGAGTTCATCCCCTGGCTAAAGTGCTTAGTTCAGGGATGAGTACATGACTAAGAAAAGATGACCACACTATTCTTTCCTGACATCCCTTCCCTGAATGTTGGAGGTGGACAGTCTCCCATTTTCTAAGCTCATGAGTTGTAAAGACCATGTAGCTACTTGTGACCAACTTTCCTGGCAGCATGGAGGAACTACCTCCAGAAGGAGAAAGTGAGACCAACATGCAAAGATAAGCAATCAAGGAGAAATGAAAGATGGGTAGAATCAAGAAAAATCCAAATAGCAATTTGAAAGTGCTAGATCTAGCCATGCTGAAGCTAGTCTACCCTCTGAATCTTTCCAATGAGCACCCCCCCCCCCGCCACCACCACCAATTCTCTGGCTTTAGGTAGTCTAAATTGGATTACTATAAAACTGCAATCTAAGGTTTAAATAACTGAAACAAAATGAGGTAAAGGTCTGAGGGTCAAGGTCAAGAAAGCCAAGGAACTAAAGACAGAGTGTTGTATGAGTTTTCCTTATGGGCACTAAAGTCATCCAAGATGAAGGCAGTATTTAGTGGGGGTGAAGAAGACACCTCTGAACCACCTGAAATGTCTTAAGTAGGAAGAAGAGACAGGATGTTAGTAGGTAACTACAATGAGGGCAAGAAGAAAGTTATATATCAGTCAGCAGGAGCCTCAAATGAGCAATGGTTTTCATACAAATGTGCGGGCATAACAGTATGGAGGCTGCATAGGAGAGAAAGAAGTGTCCAAACCCCACTTACTGACAAGAAGCTAAATGGAGTTGTGCATACAGTGGGCAGAGCCTTCCTGATCCAAGGTTATATAGCCATGAAATGCTTCCCAGTGAAAAATAAACTCCACTTCTAAGTACTAAGTATTATAACAATATAAATAACAGACACCCTTTAACCACTTTTCAGTCCACCACACCTTGACCTTGAAACACTCATTGCTCATCTGTAAGACTAGAAGGTAGAACAGAAAATTTAGATGGCTGAGGCTTAATTCTTTTTTTCTTCCTAATTGAGGTTTTTATGCATACATTTAAATGTCTCAGACAATGACCAGAATAATAATCTCAAAGGCAATTATCACTCAAGTGTATTCGGTAGGAGAGTTAGTGTTAAATATTTTAAAGCTCTATTTAGAAAAATCTCATCAGCCTAACACATTTTATTGGCCAACATAAAATATACATGGACATTATGGAAGAACAAAATCTAACACAAAAATGTGAGGCTGGGCTGCCAACTCCAGAGTGAATGCCACAGAGAGAAAGCCAATAATCAACTGGCATTTCAACAAGGAGGGAGATGGATTTATTAGGGATTTCAATTTGTCCAAATGACAAATAGTTAATGTGCATATGGCCTATATACATAGGCAGAACTTACCTTTCTTATGCCATGTAGTCTTTCTGCCAGAAATGGAAAAAAAAAATTATGACAGTTGATGTTTTTTTCTTAAAGATTTTATTTATTTATTCATGAGAGACATAAAGAGAAAGAGGCAGAGACACAGGCAGACGGAGAATCAGGTTCCATGCAGGAAGCCCGATGTGGGACTCAATCCCAGGACTCAGGGATCACATCCTGAGCCAAAAGCAGATGCTCAACCGTTGAGCCACCCAGGCATCCTGACAGTTGATATTTTTAAAGTGATGTTGTCAAAAGTGTCTTTGAAGAGTGTTGAAGATGAATTTACGGAGAAAAGAAATGAAGTTCATTAAAGATTGTATTTGGAAAATGAAAACAGAGGGAAGGTATAAAAACAATCCCTGCATCTATAAACACCTCCACCTTTCCATGGTGTGGAATGAAGCAGAGCTATTCAGCAATTCAGGCCTCCAGAGACCCACATGGTAAAATCGCTTCCTCCACTCTGGGTGAATGTGGCTTCGAGCAGCAGCCACTGTATCTCTGGATCATGTGAGGGGTCTCCAGAGACTGCAGGTCTTCTGCTGGGAAAATACAAGGCCACCTCTCCTGCCTGCTGCAAATCTAGCTCATGTCCTCAATCAGGGCTGTGCAGGTATGTGTATTCTATCATAAATACTATTTCATACTGTCCTTGCACAAGAGGAAGAGGCTGGGTGACCATGATCCATCCCCCAGGGAACACATCCTTGATCACTCTCCCTCTGTGTGATCTGTCATTCAAACTCTAAGTGTCAAATGCATTTCCTTTCCTCTAGAATTTGCTTTTCCTCTTAATTTTGGGTCTAATCTATTTTCCCCTTTCCCTTAATCAGACCCTAGTGCTTTCTTTAGAGACTCTTAAAAAAATTCCATATGGCAAAAATAAGACAATCACCCCCAAAACATAAAAATTTCTGTCAATAAAGTTAAGAATACAGTTTCCTAAAAAAATACTTGTGGAATAGAAATTTAAAAAGAATGCAGAAAGCGATGGAAATTCATAATAAAATCCCGATCCTTAAAAAGTACTCTTGCCGTCAGTACATGTGATATATTGGGGAATAAACCTGTGCAGGATTCCTTCATTTTATAAGGTTTCACATTAAAGGTTTCATTCTTAAAGGACAGAGACCAACCCTATTCAAACATGAAAAATTACCACCAAAGGCAATCTGGCAGCAACATTTAAAACAGGTAAGTTTCCTATAGGACCTCAGACCTATGTATGTTTTATCCAAATAATTAGGTATACTGCTTTTTAAAGAAATCATATGGGTAGCAATCATGAATCTCAGTCACTTTTCGGACATCCTCAGTCCCTTATGGGGGCAATTTTCACCAGGATCACAGGATCTCGGGAGAAGCTAGAGGAGCGTGGAATAACAGAGAAGGCACAGCCTTTGATTCAGAGCCAATGTGGTAAGACTGTTGGTTCAATCACCACCAATTGCGATCTCAGAGTAGGTAACACCTTCTGAGCCCCAGAGAGGTTGTAAAATGAAACATTAAAGCTTCTCCATGTGGCTATTATGAGAATTAAATTGGGTAGTAAAGCCCCTAACTTATAAAAGTAATCCCATAAATGTTAATTCCCAACTGCCACTGCCCATCTAGATATTCAATCTACTGGAATCCTTCTGGGTCCCATAGTGCTAGCAAATAAAATAATAGGTGTTTTTAGTGTGAAACATTTACCTACAGCTGGAACCTCTGAGATCTTCTTTTGCAAATGATGGATTCTCACTCCATCATCAAAGTATATGGTATTCACACACTGATCACATTTCAAAGGTTTGGGGAATTTGTGAAATCAACAGTTGCATCCCATCTCTTAGCTCCACTTCCCCCAAGAGAGATGGTGTTTAATGAAGAAGTTTTAAGTGGCTCTGTGTGTGCCTCTCTCCTCTAGGTGGCACATCTTGGAGGCAGGCACAGGTGACAAAATAATGCTGATGTGAATGGATCAGTCTTTCAAGACATCTGATGATTTCATAGTCAGGAAGTGCAAGACTGGTCATGTTCAAGCCCAGCATCTTGGAAATCACCTCTCTGAAGTCCACCAGCTGCAGTATCAAACACACACATTAAGGGTGAGGACTACTGCTAGTCCAAACAAACAAACAATTAAAAAAAAAAAACCTGTGGAAAACCCAGGTGTGCATGAGGTAGGTAAATTACTCACCATCTTTAACCTTAAAATAAGAAGGCACATCTACTAAATTACCTCTAAAATGCTTTCATCCCCAACTTTCAGTGATTTCATAACTTCTTTTCTGATGAGCCAATTAGTGTAGCATTGGCTACCAAGTCAAGAATCTCAGTTAAGCAACCATGAATGAGATGCTCCATATTCTCACTTTCAGGTGGGAATAACCATATGTCTACTTCCCAGGGATGTTCTAAAATTTGGATCAACTGAAACAATGACTATGTATGTGTTCTGCATATTAAGAAGTGTTTTACGAAGGTGTGGTTGTGTCCATGGGTGATAAGTACCTACCCACTGGAATTTTATTTATTTTTTTAAAGACTTAATTTATTCATTCATGAGAGACACAGAAAGAGAGAGAGAGAGACGGGCAGAGGGAGAAGCAGGCTTCATTCCATGCAGGGAGCCTGACTTGGGACTCGATCCCAGGTCTCCAGGACCACATCCTGGGCTGAAGGCAGCTCTAAACCACTGAGCCACCCAGGCTGCCCTGGAATTTTTTTTTTAAGATTTTATTTATTTGTTCATGAGAGACAGAGAGAGAGAGAGAGGCTGAGACAAAGGCAGAGGGAGAAGCAGGCTCCATGCAGGGAGCCCAACCTGGGACTCAATCCTGGGTCTCCAGGATCATGCCCTGGGTTGAAGGCAGGCACTGAACCACTGAGCCACTCGGGCTACCCTGCAGTGGAATTTTAACTAAGCATGGAACTTTTTTTTTTTTAAGACTGATTGATTGACTGATTGATTTTAGAGAAAGAGAGCACATGCATGAGGGAGAGGAGAGGGACAGATGCAGAGAGAATCTCAAGCCGACTCCATGCTGAGTGTGAAGCCTGGTGTGGGGCTCGATCTCACAACTGTGAGATTATGCAAGAGCCATAAGCAAGAGTCAGACACTTACCTGACTTGAGCCACCCCTATGCATGGAATCTCTTAAACTAAAAGAACAAAGGGCAAGAAAGTCTTAGCTGATAAACACAGAAGGACTTCTAAATAATGACCAGATCACATCACATAAACAGCCTCCTTCACAACCCATAACAACCATCCATCATGAGAGGAAAAATGAAGAGGTAGGGGGTTGGAGACAGTGGATGAAGATGTACCTCATACCCCTTCAAATTCTCGTATACTGGTTGCTGTGATTCTGTGCAAAAACGGAAGCAGGTAAGTCAGGGCTATCTGGGTAACCTCTTGCTAGGGGTACCTTCCATTTTAGAAAAGATGCAATACGACAGATGTTCCCCTCCAGGAAAACTGCCTTCCAAACATTTTCACCATGTGTTCATTCACTTCCCAACCTCCTTCCTATGCTGAGTCCAATTTAGGGAACATAATACTCTCTCCAGCCTAATGTCCCTGATGAAAATGTTCCCCTCAAACTTTTCTCCACTTTCAAATACAGTCAAAGCTCTTAATTCCTGGGAGGTTTCCCTCTGAGAACACGCACTTTATAGTTTAGCCTTCCTCAACTTTGCCTGACACATGAGCCAAAGCAGAGGCAGTCAAAGAGAAAAAAATATCCTAGGATCAGAGTCCACTCCCTGCCCTTTTCAGCTTCAGAAAGAGAGGGAGATAAAAGCCAAAAGCAACGGGGGTCAGGCTGCCCAGTACAGTCTCTTTATGACTGACCTCCCGATGTGCTCACCAGATAAAACTCTCCTCCTTGCAACCAGCCAGCGAGTACTGTTTTATGGCTTACATCTGGGCTAGATTGGCCATTGAGTCTCAGTGCCACTGTTTCAGAGTTGGGACTGTTTCCTGCCACTGATCTCTCCTGGAGATAAGCTTTCCATCCTAAGGTTGAAGCCTGGGATGATGCAAACTTCAGAGGTCATCAGTGAACATAATCAAAACCTCTCCACTACCAGAACCTGGCTCTCCATAGGCTTTCCACTGCTTTGATGAGAATGTCTTTTTGTTTCCTAAGATTCGTGTCATGAAAATGTGAATTGCTTTTCTTAGCAGAATAAATCATAATGGTTATTTTAATTCTAAAAAGATGCTAGAGGGCAAGTAGATACATTGGAATGATAAAGCAAGCTTTGTAAATTGTTTTTGAAGAAACCTATGAATAATTATCTAGCTTTCGAATTGTCCTATCTTTCCTAAACAAGATTTCACCCCCAGATTTCTACCCACCTGCTTTTCTCTCCTTTCTACTTCTTCCAGAGATTTTTTTAGTGTCTTCATTTCGCTGGTTACCACTTCTATCATGTTCTTGGCTCTCTCTTTCTCCTCCTGAGCCTCGCGCTCTGTGGTATCCAGTTCTGACTTGACAGACGTTAGCTTTTTCTCAGCTTTCTCCTTCATCTTCTCAAGTTTGTCTCTCGATTTATTTAGATCTTCAATGGCTTTGGTCTGTTCCAAAGTTTTAATCTAAGAAATCAAGGGAATTCTAATAATTTTTTTCATATTTGTTTATGACAATTGTATCAACAGGATACACTAGAAGTCAATGAGATTCATTTAATAACTTCTTTATGAATTAAGAATGGAATCCATCCCAGTTAAACAGACTTTGTTAAGCATACACACTGGACAAACATGTCTTAAGGCAGTTACAGTTTATCAACATGTCAGAGGACCATTATTTGGAAAATCAATGAGACAAATGATTCTGGGGTTAAATATTAAAATAACGTCTGCTGGTACTTATACAGACTCTCATGAGCTCCATAGGCAAAAGCAACTTGTACTTTTGGCCCTACCAAAGGGTCATCCCTGCCATAGAAACACTACAACAGTAAAGTATCTCCCCTCCAAGTAGTCTATGACAAGGAAGCTCATCTAAAATCCCCTCAGTTAAGTCTTCATTACTGATGTAAGGAAAACTTAGAACAGTGATATTTCAGAAGGTCTTCTGAGTTTACCAATGAGTATGGAAGGCTTGAGGCAGCCATAGCATTCCACTGCAAACAAGGGGGGAGGGGTCTCTCTCTAGGAAGCTGTCCCAGGATCTTAAAGCCAAAACAAAGAGCATCCTGGAGCATGAGGTACATTTTCTTTATTAGCTTAGTATTTAAATTTTTGCCACATCTGTTTACAAAAAGAATTTGAATTTGAATTAAAAAGAATTTGAATTAAAAAGTTGAAATTCTGACAAAATTCAAAATTCTGACAAATACTACAACATGGATGAACCTTGGACATTACAATAAGTAAAATAAGCCGGACACCAAAGGACAGATATTGTATAATTCCATTTATATGAGGTACCTAGGATAGACTAATTCATAGAGATAAAACGTGGAATAAAATTCCATCCCCACGGGAGGAAGGAGGAGTTATTTAATGGAAACTGAATTTCAGTTTAGGATTATTAAAAAGTTCTGAAAACGGATGGTGGTGATGGTTGCAAACACTGTGAATATACTTATTGTCACCAAATTGTACACTTAAAATGGTTTAAATGGTAATTTTTATGTTACAGATATTTTACCACAATTAAAAAAAAAGAATTGGAAGTAGTTTTATATATCTGACACAAAATTTTTAACACTGACCATTAAAAATAAAAATGAATGGGCTACCATTTAACATCCACTATGGCCACAGTCAAAAAAGATAGACGGTGACAAGTGTTGGCGTGGGTGTGGAGAAATCAGAACCTTCACGTTCTGCTTATAGGAAGGCAAAATGGTGCAGCTGTGAGAAACCATTTACCAGTTTTCAAAATAAACACAGAGTTAACACATGAGCCAGCAATTCTACTTCAAGGTTTATATATTCAAGATAATCGAAAATGTCTGTCACACACAATCTGTACACAAATGTTCACAGCAGCACTATTCACAATCATCAAAAAGTAACAATAACCCAATATCCATCAACCAATGAGTAGATAAATAAAATGTTGAATATCCATGCAACAGAATATTACTCAACAATAAGAAGGAGTGAAGTACTGATACCAACTATGGATGAACCTTGAAAACCTTCTGCTAAGGGGCAAAAGCCAGTCACGAAAGACCACTCCTTGTATTATTCCATTCAAATGAAAGATCTAGAAAAGGCCAGGGACTGGAGGGAGGGGAGACAGGAAGGAACTTGGGTTGTTTTCAGGGATGATGAAAATGTTTTGAAATTGGATAATGGAAATGTGCTTTCATCTACTATCATACACACAACTTAAGATATTTAGCTCCTTTTCCAGCAGACAGGAGGCCAATGGCAACCATACTTTGAACAAGTTCAAAGCTCTGAACTGATTTCATTCAGGAGAGAGGAAATCCTTGGGAAACTGCCAGCGGCCAGAAAGGTGGAAAGCACCACTGCAGCTTGAGAAATCTGCCAGCAATACTATCCCAACAATAGTTGGGGGAAGGAACACGGACTCAGTTTTTGAGCCAATGATGTGACACTAGAAGACCCAGCACCTGAGCCAAGTTAATGCCACCCACTAAGCACAAGTCTATGAAGCTGACCTTGAAGATCATTCATGGATTCCAAGCTATCAAAACCCATACTGGAAAATGAACAGCACGATGGACACAGTATAATAAACAATTGCCCCAGCATTGCTTCCTGGGTATGACGATGTATAGGGGTCACATCGGAGAATTCTCTCCTTCGTGCCACTGTTCTATAGATGTGAAATTTTTCAAAATAAAAAATCAAGAAAGGGAACTGTCCCATGCATGACCAATACAACGTGAATCCTGCCAGTAAAGATTTTGAATATACATGTATGTTTATTTATAAATTACATAAGCAACTGTTCTAAATAATATAGTCTGTAGATTATCAAACATTTTACAAATTGAGGGACATTACTTGAATGAAATCTTTATCAATTTTAAAACAAAGTTATCTCACTTTAAAATAAGGAGCTTCCCTTCGTGTGCAAACTATCACACTGTTGCAAAGAAAATATGTGGCCAAGTGGGAAGTTGCTGGGAATGGAATATTGAATTCAAAACCTTGTATTAACAGATATGTTCAGCCTTTCTGCTCAGATTGGAAAAACATTTACAGTGGGCTATCTACCAAAAGTGATGGAACACAGCTTGGAGAGCTAGAAGTCCATAAATCAGGTCCTAATGAGAAGAATCCATAGCCAAGAATGTCTGAAAAATATGAGACTTTATCACAATCTTAAGGGCTGCCTCAATACTTGTCATCAGTGAGCAAAGGCAAGTAATAGAGCTCTGAGCCAAGCCACCAGAACAGAACTGAAAGCCCGGGGATGATAGAGACCTCGGATTCCTAAATCAAATCCAACAAACAAGATTCCTGGAAGTGGGGCGTGGCTAAGGAGCTTCCCAGATCCAGCCCAGAGTTCAACAAGAGCCTGTGCCCCTAATGTTCTTCTAGGGGGGGCCAGAACTGGTCATAAAGAAGACCAATGTGCCACCCAGACCCCCCAGCAGAGATGGAGAAGGCTCCAAGCGTGCTTAACTTCCAGTAAACACCATATGTGGTGTCAGCCTCCTGGAGTGAAAAAAATTCCAAAATCTGGTGAATAATTTTCTCTCACGTTAAAAGGGCCCAAGGCCCTGAAAGAGGTGGTGATTGAATTTAAAATGTAGTGTGCTGAATCCCCCAGAGGATCTGAAGCCTCTAGCTGGAGGGTTTGAAAATGCAACCCTGCAGGAGTGAGGCAATGTCCACAGGCTCCCTGAAGACAGTGGGACCACCAAGTGGGAGACTCTCCCCTAGGCCCAAATACATGCGGTGTCCCTACTAAAGAGAACCATGAAGATTTTACCAGAAGGAAACTGAGGCAGACCACAAAGGAAGGTGTTTGACTTTGCAGCCTAAGCACACTCCCATACCATTCTACAGCCCAACGTTCTTACTGTAGGGTTCTGCTTGGTAGGGAGAGCTCAAAGCAAGTCCAGGTCCAAGATGGTAGATTACAAAAAATGCATATAAAGAAAGGCTGCACTGACTGGGCTGGAGAAGTTCTAGAGCAGAGAAGGAGCATGGGGAGCAGCTGTCTTGCGTGGGAGATTATCAAGAGAGGTAGCAAGGGGAAGAGACCTTTGCTGTTGGCTAAAGGATGTTATTCCCTTTCAGTGTTTCCTTGGGATACTACAGGGAAGATAACAATGACTTTCCACTAGTTTCTGGTTGTCTGGCTACTGATTTGGGGGCACAGCTCCCTACTAAAATCAGGCCATGTGATACAGACTGAAGCTGACACCTCGCCACCAAGTATCTATTCTTTTGTTCTTACTGCCCAGGATAGATCCATTTCTCAGCCTGATTTCATCTCAGTGAGGCCCAGAGACGAAGGTCTGGCTAGTGGGATACAAAGCATTGTACTGTTCCTGGAAAGTGGCCTACAGCATGTCCTCCCACCTCTCCTCCGTGCTGGTGGCTGGGATGAGGCCAGAGCCCCAGCAGCAAGCTTGTGTTAAGAAGCAGCATTGAGCAGGCACCTGGGGACTCAGTCTGTTAAGCATCTGCCTTCGGCTCAGGTCCTGATCCCAGGGTCCTGCATTAGGCTCCCAGCTCCACAGGGAGCCTACCTCTCCCTGCCTCTGCCTCCTTCTCTCTCTCTGTCTCTCATGAATAAATAAAATCTTTCAAAAGAAGAAGAAGAAGAAGAAGAAGAAGAAGAAGAAGAAGAAGAAGAAGAAGAAGAAGAAGAAGAATTGAGGATGAAAGCTATCACTAGGACAGTGAAGGAGAAAGAACAAGCCAGGGTTGCTGATGACCATAGAGCCATCCTGCTAAGCATGGCAGGTCTTCTTTTCGGTGAGAAAGTAATAAATATCTCCTCTGCCTAAGCCACTGTTATTATGAGATGTTTAAATAATTTTAGTGGAAACAAATCATAACCAATGCAGGCTAAGGGGCAACTAGTGTTATATGAGTCACACAAAGCATTTTCTGGATCCTCTGGAGTTCTATCATATGATTTCAGTGTCTGTATTTGCATTTGTGCAAAAATCTGTTTGTGCCAATTAGTAGTACTACTTTAATTATTCTAGATTAATGAGAAGAGCAAAGGTGGAGTTAATACATAAATAATGTATTCATGCCAAGTGAAGGCCAAACTATGTCACGGTACATATACAAACAAAGTATCTGCAGCATTCCATTAAAGCACAGAGTAGAAAAAATGCTCTGTCCTTAGACAATACAAACCACAGGCATGCCAAACTCAAAAGAACCTGTACCACAAGCAATTGATACCACACATTCTTAATGGTGACTGTAGTGAAATAACATAATCTAGCATATTGAATCAATAGCATTAATATTTTTAATTTGATTTTTACACTTCATTTTGTTTTCCAAATTGGTTTGAATTTTGTAATGGTAAAAAATTAGCAAGATTGGAGCATTTATGTGGCTCAGTCAGTTGGGCCTATAGCTCTGGGTTTGGGCTCGGGTCGTGGTCTCGGGATCATGGGATGGATCCCCAT